ACACACACACACACACACACACACACACACACACACACACACACACATCTGCGACATCAGGGGCCCTTCAGTTTCTTAATGTTCAGTGAGAGTTGGCCTGCAGCCCGGATCCTGTTGCTCACTAATTATGGACAGAAGTTAAATTGTAGCGGTGACGCAGAGTCTGCAGGGCCACAGTCAAGACAGAATGAATCACAGCTCATCACTTCCTCACACAACTGTCAAAATAAAAGTCTGACTCAGGAAGTTTGGCATAACATCATGGAGCAAGCAGCAAAGTAAGATAGATTCCTCTCAACCTTTTATTATATTTTTCTGCATGGGCAGAGATAGAAGCCTACATTCAGATTTTCATTTAATCATTTTTTCATTTAATATTTTACAGAAAAAGTCCTTCTTTTGATTGACCACATTATATTTTATTTATTTTTTATAATTCCTGACACTGGATCTATTTTTTTCTTGGCAGAATGGGCTTTCATCCTTTAGAAATTTGTATTCTTGCATTTATTATCATCTGTTTTTTGTTTCTTCAGTGCAGTTGAGTTTTAACAGGTTTGGTTAACATTTTTTTCCCTTTATTTTTACTTTCTTTCTTTTTTAAATCTCGCTCTTTTATTGTCAATCCAAAGCTCCCCCCCCCCCCCTCTCTCTTCTCTCTCTCTCTCTCTCTGTGTGTGCGTGTGGCGTTGCCGTCTCCAGGCTCTGCTCTCAGGCGCCTCCTCCTCCTCCAAACATGGCGCCGGCCCGCAGCGTTGCAGCTTCCCCGACAGACGACGCAGAGAGGGACAGAAGGAGGAGAAGAAGAAGCGGGTAGCAGCTCATCCTGAACGTGTTTTACAAACTCTTTTGAAACGAACAAAACTCCACGCTCTTTAAGGTTTCCTCCGGAGACTTTACGTGCAGCTTTTGGAGACGTTTACGCGTCAGACTGTGCGCGTAACAGAGAGCCCACCTGTCCGACGAAGGTAGACTTCACTCCGTTTGTTCAAGGATGTGAATCTCCCTGATTTATATGAAATAACGGGGCAGACTGAGCAGACAGACGGGTAGCTCGGGGTCAGACTGGCTCTGGTAAGAACATGTGCGGCCCTGTGAGGAGCAGAAACACAGAGGCTGTAGAGGACTGAGTCTTTCCAGGGGGAAAAAACAACAACTTTTTTCCTCTCTTCCACACTGAGAGGATGGATGGAGATCATTTTGCGCTGTCAGGAGTTGAGAGGGAAAGAGAGAGGCTTCCACCAATTTACAACAGCTCCGCTCCTGCTGTAAGAAAAACTGCATTTCTCCTTATTTATTTCAAACAAAAACAAAAAAGATTTTCACCTGAATTGCTCTCTCTGTTGGGCAGAAAATGTTTTTTCTGTGTGTTTAAAACGTAGTATACTTCACAGTGGGGAAAGAACAGTAACTTGGCATCATATGTGCAACTTCTTATTTGTTCTTTATTTCAAATTAGGAATAACAATAAGAATGTGAATCCAAATATTGTTAAAAATTGCAGAAATGGTGCAAAAGGCAACGTATTGATCCTTTAACAAATAATTGATTAAAAAACCACAATTAAACCACAAAAACATTTTTATTTTTAGAAAACACTAATGATTAAAACAATAAGGAAAGCACCATAATATGATTGGTGAATAATTATTAGTCTTGTGTGATGCAGCAGCATAATGTCTGAATGAATGATGCTAAACTTTCACATCACTCATTTTCTTTAATTAGGGAGTTGGGCTCAACAGCCCTACACGGTCATATCTATGTGCATTTTATTACAAATTTATAATCCAATGTAAGTCCCTCACTCGATCCCAAATCATTCTATAATAACATATCGGCCATTGAACTGATTCTGCTGGTAATCTTTTGAATTGTTAACTTTAACATGCAGTGGACATAAAGTGACAGCAAATTGAAGAAAAACTGTAGTTTTGTCTCGGTGGAAAAAGTGATGCAGCTGTCTTACATAATGACTCCTGACATATCCAGCTCTCCAGCAGTGCTTTTTAAATGCATAGCAGGGAGCTGAGTATTGGGCTGTTTATCGGTGCGTTTTACGTTTGGCTCTCGGTGTCACTTCGGAGCAGACTGGCGGGGTTACAGGCTGGCTGGTTGATGTCATCTCCATAGTGTCAGGGAGCAGGAATGTGCAGATCAGACGGTTTTGACCAATAAACAGCCTGTCATTGCTCAGACCGACTCTGGTTGTGTCTGGAAATGCAATAAAGTGTCTGCCTGTGCTCCCTCTGCAGCTCGTTTTTCTGGGACTTCAGTCAGACTGATTGTCTGATTCCTCCTCAGGAGTCTTCTGGCCCCGTGAGCTGGTCTGAAGAGATTAGGGCTCAAAGGTTGGATCAAAAAAGGTCCAACATTGTATGGCAGACCAATAAAAATAGAAGAATTTAAGTTTTCATATGAACAGATATTAAACCAGAGCTGCTGTTTCAAGAGGCTTTCAGGGATTAAAAAAAATCTCATTAACTCAATTTTTTTAAACAACATTTTCTCCAGACTTCCAATATTTTGACTCCAGTCTGATTGTTTTGCTCAGTCTGGTTCTGTGACTATTCGTGGTATTATTCTCTGTCTTTTACACAGAGAGAGCCAAAGGGACCAGTGCTGGCCTAAATCTGTCACAACCCAGTTGCCAGACTCATCCCAGACTTGTGATAAACGGTTACCCAGAATCAGCTCAAGTCTACGTAGATCAATTCTACGAGTCGTCTCAGGCCTGACCGCTGCTGACTAGGGCCGATTTGTCAACCTAAATCAACTAACGTCTGCAGACCCAAACCAAATCTAATCAAATCTGGCAGCCACGGAGGAGCCAGAGTCGGCTCAAATCTGGTCCCCTATTAACACACGTATTTAACCGACTGCTGGTCTCAGTAAATACCTGGTCGTCATGTTTACGTAGACCTGCTCATCAGCTGCAGTTCTGTCTGTCTCTAATGACAGATAGTGAAATCACAAAAAAACAACTGCTGCTAAAACTGTTAGAAGTTGTCAGATGTGTTTATTTGATCGAGGAAAACTGTGAGAAATGTTTGTCCACAGCCGATTCTTCCTCAATGAAATCCAAAGCGTGACTGATTTGGATGTAGCCTCTGTGTGTGTTGCTCAGTTGTCATCACTGTGGTGTCTCTGCTCCACGTTTCCCAGAGATTGCCTGTCAATCAGCCGGCTGTGGTGTTGATGATGAAAGAGTTAGGAGAGAGAAGCGTGTGATGTGGCTGTTCTGTGGCTTCACCGAGAAAGAAGTGTTACTATGCACACGTCCCTCATAGGTGCAAGGATTTAGCAAACAGCCCTGAGCGCAGGCAGCCCTGTGAGGCTGTATTTTGGCAGAGAGGGACTTAAAGCAAAATGCTAAACATCAGCATGCTAACATGCTCACAATGACACTCGCTCATGTAACAAAGTATTGGGCAGTTTGATCTGATGATGGCGCTATGAAAAGACAATTCATCCTGAGGGTAACATTGATATCTGTAACTAATCTCATGGCAGCTCATCATCCAATGCTTTTCACTTAAACCATGAAATGTCAACCTCATGGTGTAGTGTTTGCAAGAAGGTGGTGGACCGACCAACCTGCCATTTATAGAGTTGGTGCAATGAGTCATTTCACATTTAAATGAAAGAAATAAGAAGCATCTTGTAAATGTAGGTCATAATAAAGGGACCACTGGAGATCCACCAAGTTCTGTGTTGATTTCACAGATGTTGTTCTTTTCAATCATTTCCGTAGATCTGTTTCATGAAACCTGCACATGTTCATGCGTTCGCTATTGCGTCTCATTAGTGCTCTGCAGACAGATGGAGCTTCTGTTCAAAGACACAGGACGCATGTGTGTCTGTGTAGTGTAGATTATGTCTCTTTGTATGTTATGTCATAACTCTGAAAACACAACCTGTTACTGTCTGAGGTTGTTTCTTCGAAGACAAGCCTTCCTTTGTTTTCTCTCTCTCTGTGTTGCTGTGCACAAGAGAGAAAATAATACTATGTCATGGAAACAATAGAAAGTATGTGCTTGGTCCTACTTAAAGACCAAAACGTCCTCATTGATACCCATTAAAACCACCATGTTTGATCCCACGGCCATCACAGTATAACATCATACATTCTTTTATCTCAGGCTTTTAATCTAGAGCCCTGGCCTCTAAATGATAGTTTTTACTATTTTCAACCATATTGAGCTATTTATTTTTTTCATGTTTGACCTTTGAGGCAGATAGTGCTATGTCTGTGTGTGTGTGTGTGTGTGTGTGTGTGCGCGTGCTGTTGCCATCACTGATTTTATTCAGATTCTTCCTTGAGGTATTGTTTCTTTGGAAACTGATTCATTTTGAACGGCAGATTAACCGTCTTCCTGCTCCTTCTGTTCTGCAGCCTATGAACACATCACTGCTGGAGTGTATGTGTGCGTGTGTGTGCGTGTGTGTGCGTGCGTGTGTGTGTGTGTGTGTGTGTGTGTGTGTGTGTGTGTCTTTGCTGCTGTCAGGAGCGGCTGCTGTGCATCTGTTGATCTCTCCACCTCTCATCACTCCTCCTTTTCTCTTCCTGCTATATGCGCTCTGATCTCCATCTACATTGTTTTTACTTCCCCTCCTTCGTGTTCTCTTCTCCTTCAATCCGTCATGTTTTTTCTCTGTCTCCCCCCTTTTTATTCCTCATCTTTATTTTTCCCTGCCTTATACATCAGTTTCCTTTCTTTTCCCTCTCTTAATCCTCCCTCCCTGCTCTCCTCCCTTCCTTCCGTCTTTCTCTTCCTTCATCTCATTTTCTTTCTTTCCCCACCCTTTTTTTCTTGTCTTTTTTCTTTCACTCTCATATCTCCCTTTCTACGCCTCACCTTACCTCATTCCCTCTTTTGCTTTTGTGGTATAATTTTAATTTTCTCCTCCTTCCTGTAAATCCCTCCTTCCTCTCCTCTTCACGTCCTCCTCTGCTTGATTAATCTCAGGGAACATTCAGTAAATGTTACGTTAGACAGATCGGTTCAGTTATTATTATATTGTCATTGTCTGTTAATGCAGCTGAAAGTCTGGATTGATTTAAGGAGTTCCCATTCTGGTGAGAAACCTCAATATCTGAGGAATACAGAGAGTTGCTTTAGTGAATGTATTAGTAATGGTAGCTAGAGCAAAACAATTTTACAAGTTTGCATTGGTGTTCATACTTTCATTTCATGCCTCATTTATTGTTATTAATAAAATGCAAAATGTTGCGTTTTCTGAGAATTTCTAGAATTATCAATACTGTCAATATACTGTAAGTGGATATCTTGGCAGATTAGTAAAAATAGATTGCAGTGCAGTAAATTGCAGCACATTTTAAATTGTGTTTTTTTGTATATTTGATTTAATTTTTCATCATTCAAGTGAAATACAATAGTGGTACTATTGTCATCTTTGACATTGAAGGTAACATTTTTAAGATGTACAATTATATTCCAACCATTGAATACAACCCGTAAAGCACTTCAAAGTACATATCAATGCCATTTTAATTTAAACAACTCTTTGACAAACTACATTTAGGGATCCATGCCAAAAGGTTTGTCCTTGTCATGTATGTGTGTAAAATATGTAGTTGTATTTTATATATATATGAAACGTTTTTATACAGTTGAAAGTTTTGCTTTCTTGACATATTTAGTGTTCATGTCCCTCAGAATGTCTTCCACATAATATACAATTCCTCAGCCGAAATTCTTCTTCACCGCTCCCCGTGGTGATGATGTTATCTTCCTGCGGCAGGGTTTTGGGCGAGGAGCTAAGCAGCCGTTTCCGTCTTTGGGCACCTTTATCTCCACACTGAGCCAGAGGAGGGACGCAGGGGGACGGAGCTTTTCTGGCGGCATGACGGGCACCCTGACCGGCACCCAGTGGCTCAGACATGGTGAGCTCACAACTATTCTATTCCATCAAACAGAGCAGTTCATTCTTTTTTGTTTTTCAAAATGAATTTCAGCTCATTTGTATTTTTCTCATCCCTTCTGGTTACTAGAAGCATGTCTGTTGTTCTTGTTACAAGAGGACCTCGTTTATCAAAAATCAACCCAACAAAATGTCTTATTCTAACGTTCAGCTGTTGCTGGCTGTTCAAATGAAACATTGAACATTTCCTGAAACACTATGACTAATGTAAAAACACACACAAAATAATCACATTGGCAAATGTTGTGCTTGTTCAAGGAAATATGAGACTAGACGAGAGGTTTAATCCTTCTCCTTCTCTCATATTTGGAACTTGCCTGAACCAATATTGTGTGTATTGGTGTGGCGTTGGCTGTCACGGGAAGACATGAGAGGAAACAAGTGCCCCTCAGTTCATAGTTTTATATTTCACAAAACCAGATTTAAGACAAAAAAAACTAACATTCTAAAGGCAAATGTAAAAAGTGTCACAATCACTTTTACTGGTTTCATTTGCATCTAATGGACAGACTTCTTGATCTCACCTGTGCTCTGATGAAGGCTTCATGCTGCAACACAGAAGTAGCTTTTTCTGTCCATTAGCTGCAAATTAAACCACTAATATGATTAATTTAAGGTGACTTTTGTAAATGTTTTGATTACCACTGGCAGTGCCGCTTTTATCATTAGTAATCTGTGTTAGAAAAAAGAAGCACGGATACACTGTATAGCCCCTTTCCCACTGGACAAAAAAAAAAAAAAACACCAACTAACATCTGGCTTTTATCTTCAGCGGGAAAGGTTACAATCGGCATTCATTCCCGGGACAAATGACTCTGCGGAAGTCACAGGTATTTATCGGCTCCAGCTCCGGTTGGCACTGATGGAAACATGACACCCCGGTGGACACACCAATTTCCGCCCCTTTTCCAGCTGTTTCTTTGTCATTTCTGCGACAAATTCCGACTGTCCGAGCAGTGCTCAAACATTGATCCACATTAGTCTGCACCGAGTTTGAAAGGAGAGTAAAAAAGTAACAAAAATGAAAAAGACATTTTCACCGGCATCCATGCTGCTTTCTACTGTTTGATAGTATTTTCTGGTGTGTTAGTGACGTCGAACGTGATACACCAGAAAGAAAAGAGATACAGAAAAGCGAACTCATCTACTGGCAGTGGGAAAAGGAGTCATCGCCTAATTTTAGTATGTTTTTCGGCATTTGAAAGTGTGCATTTGTAATTTCTCATACCCAATGCACTTTTTCCTCAAGTTGTGCAACAAGCTATTTCAGTACTTTATCATTTGCATCCATATAAATTAATATCAAAGCAAATGTTAGTCAGTAAAGCAGCTCAACGTCACCAAACTGCAGTTTGAATGTCAGTGTGGTGTGTTCACTGTGCTCTCTGTCTCGTCTAGGAGGTAATGATGTGTTACTTCCTCTATTTACAGTATGCTTGATGTATGGGCTCAAACTGTTTATGTTGAGCTGCTAGCGATGACATCAGCGCAACGACTCGTGTCTCTAAAATGGAAGGTTTTCAGAAAAAAAAGAGGAGAAGAAGAAAAGCTGTCCGTGTTCTCCAGTTGGTGACGGTGCATTTAAAGAGTCTCTCAGTGCGCAGAAAATGACAGGATCACACTTCTAGTTAGAAAGTAAAGAAAGGTACAGGCGTATTTATGGGGCGATTCAGGTTTCAACTGAAAATAAGATTCTTTTTTTTAGATTTTCTGCCATTTCAACATCATGGTTCCAGACGAATTTTCAAAGTCTCTGCTGAAAGGTGTTCGGGTTGTCTCCCTGCTCAGGATGTTTCATGAAAGATGAAAGTTTACTTTCATTTCAGTTTCACTAAAAAGGAAATTTGGAAAATCAAAAATATCTGTCATGAAACTGTCACTGCTACAGAGAAAGGAGATGGGGGGGGAAACATGTCATGAGGTTGTATTTTCTTCATTTGTCGTCAGTGTTTTGATATAAAAGTGCACGTTGCTTCCTGTTAGAAAGGCGAGGTTATTTCTGACTGCCGTGAGAACGCAGACCCAGCGGAGTGCTCACCAGCCCGCTTTGTCACCACGGCTACTGATGCCAGAATAATTATGCAAACCTCCGCCCAAATGAAAACCATATGAAAGTAAAAACACTCAACACACACACACACACACACACACAAGATAGTGTAGCATTCCTCGGGTCTGTTACAGCCATCCGGCCTGCTGGATAATCACCACAATTTGCTATTTCATCTGTAAAGTATTACTGGAGGTTTGTAATTCCTTTTAATATTGTCAAATTTGGTTTTGTGTGCTGAGGCTGAGCAGAGCAGAGATCCGTCTTGAGTTTCATTTCAAGATCACAAAACAGGGACACCTTTTCTAGAAACGCTGGCATCGAAGTCCAGCTTGTTAGGGTGAAATATTAAAACACTTACCATGCTCCTGGTTTGGTTGTCCTGCAAACATCCCCAACTTCCTCAATGCTCAGAGAAAAATAATTTGACATTTGAGGTTTGTAGAATGACGGAGATGTGATCGCAAAGCGAGCCGACCACCTCTGTCTGGTCTGGCTGATACAGTTGCATTCAGGTCCACATAAGTTCTGACTCTTTTTTCCTGGAGGATTTCTAAAGGTTAGAACAAAAATGCTTTGCATGCATTTACAGCCTGGCATCCAGATAATGTATCCAGATACAGTTCACATTTTAATGCACGGTGTAAGTAAATGGGTACAATTTAAGTGAACATTTAACCCCAATAAAATAAGGACCACTCCTTTAGTGAGTGTTTGAGCTTAACAGTGAGTTGTTCCTTAATTAACTGGATTTCTTATAATGAACTTGTTGCATTTTAGAAGAAAAAGTCCTGATTTGGTTTTTCATCATCCTGGATGGACGTACGTGGTTATCAGGCTATCTTCAGTCTGATGTTTGTGGACTGCTTCATTCATTAAGCATCAGCTGGAATAATAATTAATAGGACAGTACTTGATGGCAAACACTTGAGGGAGATAACAGGGTTGTCCTCTCATCCCTTGTCAGAAGACATCAAAGGCTTTGTTGAAGTAAACTTTAATGAAAGGCAGAGGGAGGACGTCCTCAGAGGTCTTCGAGGTGACTATTCCAAATAAAAGGGTGCCATGACGACCGGTACTTGTTGCTGTCAGGACTAAATTTGGTGACGCACCAGCTGACAAAGCAGAGGTAATTATGAAGCAGTGATGGAGGAGAAGAGAGGACAAGGGTGCAAAAATGGGAGGAGGGGAGTTAAGAGCATTTTCGTCTCCTTGTTCCTGCTCTCATTAGCTCTATTTGTCTCTCTTTGTGTCCTCTTAGAGTCATTGCCCGACGATGGCAACGCCACTTTTCCATCTGCTTCCATCCGCTAAATTGATGAATACATTTCATGGCCAGGTTGCTATCAAACAAGATTTAGATTTGTTTCCACAACTAGCACTTTGATTCAGAACGGGGTATATCAAAAGGTAAACACTAGATTACCATGAAATTACAGTCATGGTCACCAGAGGATGAATCTTATCATTTTCTGAACCCAGGGACAGAAAAAAGTCAAAACCATGGACCTGTTTTTAGAGCAATTTCCATGGCCATATAGCAATAGGGTTGTTAAAAACATAATATATTAAATAAATACATATCAATCAGGGACTAAGGATCGGGGAAATGTATTTTTAAGATGTTTTATGGGGTGACTTGCTCAGAAACTTACATATAATGGTTGGATAGCTCACCAGCGACTATAGAAAAAGCTAGCTAGCTAGAATCTGTGTTAAAGCTTTTCAAAACTCTCAATTCTTGCGGTTCCATCCTTGATCATTTTATCACAACATGCCACGAAATAATACAAAAATCGATTGAACCTCTCTGACCTTTCCTCTTGCAACACTATCAAACCAATGCTTGTACTTGTACACAAAATAAATTCTGAATTTACAGGATAGATTCACATGAAATTTCCATTTATGCTCCCTAAAGGATGAACTCCTTTAATTCTAATGACCCCATGATCTTTTCTCTAGCGCCACCCTCAGTCTGAAACACCTCCACTGTTCACACAAAAAGAAACATCAGGGTTCCTGTGATGTAACACCTGCTCTCATTGTCATGCATCCATCTGTCTGCCTCTGTACCTGTGTCCCTTTTATCTGCTTGTGCAATCTGTCCATGCACCCACAATGCACCTGGACAGGCCTGCTGGTGACTATTGTTACTGTGGAGACGGAGACAAAAGGGGGCTAATTATAAACAGAATGAATAGATGGTCAGGAGTGCGAGGAAGCAACATCATCAATGACATCGCTGTCTCAGCCTGAATATCTTTCGCTGCCTGTCCTTCTGTCTCGATTTGTCCTGCTATATATAACTTCCCAGATGTTTTTATTGTAATTATTTATTTAAAGAAGTATAATCAATACAAACATCAGGTTTCGTACAGGTAACGACTGCTTTTGTCATAACTTTAATTGTTAAGACTTATTTTTCTCCTCCAGAGCTGCAATGAACATGTCACCCCTGCTGCATTGGATTAATAAATGGTTTATTGCCTGTTTTTCTCACCCAGGGAGAGATTTGCCTCCGATCTGCAGCGATGTTCGTCAAAAGCAGCGGCTCTCCATTGACACTCTTCCCCCCGAGGTCAAAGCTCCGTTCCCCTCCGACCCCATCATCCCCCTGCGTACCAAGACCACCAAGGAGTTTCAGTGAGTTTTTAGTCCCTGGACTGGGACCCAAAACATTAAGACGGCTCTCCCCATAAAACTAAACCGCCTTACCTACAATTACTAAGTTCATTTGGAGCCGGGTCTGGTTTGTCTTTTTAAGCATTGTGTGTATGTGTTTGCGTTACCAGGGAGGACATGGAGCATGCCGTCCAATCAGGTGACTGGAGGGAGGTCCGAGAGTTTTACCTGACCACCTTCGACTCCTTCATAGAAATTAACGCTGCCTTCAAGGTAGAACACACACACACACACACACACACACAGTCTGGCTCTCAGCAGAATGCCTGTTGTGAGAAAACTGTTTTAGATGCTGTTAAAATTTCACCAGACGCCTGGACCGTTTTACTATGGGAAAGCATTTTCTTTTCTCCGTTGTTTTCCTGCTTTTTCTTCATGCTCTCTCCTTCTTTCCTCATTTTTGTGTCCTCCCTCCTCCGTCCTTTCCCAGCGAGAGGCGAACGGGTCCTTCAACACCATAGACGACTCGGGAGTCAACGCCAAGTTTGTCAACGCTGTTTACGAAGCACTGCTCAGCACAGTAAGCACGAGAGAAAAAGACCCCCGTCTGCAAACACATACGAGCTCATCATCAAACTGCTTCTAGATCTCATAGCTCGTGGTAAATCATCCTCGATTCAGATCATAAAGAGGAATTTCACTTGTGGAACCTCACAGTTGAGCTCTATGGCACATTTCAGATTGGAGATTTGAACCGCCACCACCAACAAGGACAACTGCAAACGGATAATGTCTTTCTTCTTAATGACATCAAGTCTGTAACAGAGTCTATAGCATCTGTTTAAGTTTAGGTATACGTTCTATAAAGCTTAACATACCCGCTGCCTTGATGACCTCTCTGGTAAAGAAAAGGTTAGATAAATATGGCCGCCAGTGTTTCCACTTTGTGGATCTCTGACATTCAGGAATGTTGATTCAATCTCCTGAGTCGTTTGTGAATTTGTTTCGGTGCGTGTGTTCAGCCTCAGGACATCCAGAAGTCCGTGCTGAAAGGGATCATCAACAGCCTGCTGAGGGAGTGGAAAGGGTGAGAACACTTCTCTGACACAATCTGCATTTTTGTGATCCATTTGCTTATTTTTATATTCTACTTGACCTTTTTCAGCTTCAATATACTTTGGTCATTTAAAAAATGGTAGTAAAATGGAAATGATTGGCGAGCAGGTAGATGTGGGCGAGCCTGGCTTGGTTTTGTTGTGCTTTGTTGTGCAGTCTCTCTCTCTTGTGTGACAGGTTTTGGTTTGTTTGTGTTCTGTTTTCAGGCCTCGGACAAAAGACGACCTTCGAGCTTATTTGATTCTTGTTCAGGTGAGACTGAAAGTCCCGTAGAGACAGTAAAGGCAGTCCAAGTCAAAAGGTCTCCTGGTATTTTGTTTTTTGGTTTCAAATAAAAATAAAAATAAACTACCAGAACGTACACAGATGAATGCTGTCAATAATATATACCATTAATTGAAACTGTTGGCTGCTGTTCAGTTGCAGCTGTGGTTCACTAGATCTCCATGTCAGCTGGGGAACACACAGGGTTACTATAAACAGTGGATTAGATTCGTAAAGCTGACTCTGATACGTAAACATGATCTGTCCTCACCCTTATTTTTATGCTTTCATCCTTTGAACAACTGTTTTTTTTAATCCTTTCTTTTTGTTTTCTTCCTCCCTTATTTCTCTCTTCTCATCAGTAATGATGTACAGGAATCTTTTACTTGCACCTCTTTCTGTCTTGTTCTGTTTGTGGGGTCTTTTCTTCAATCCTGTTTGATCCTATTTTCCTATTCTCTCACACACACACACACACACACACACACACACACACACACACCCTTCGACGTGAAAATAAACATCCACTGCACTATTACCACAAGGTCATTATGAAGTCAAAAACACACACAAAGATATCAAAGAGTGTAACAGAAAAGCATTTAGAGGCCCTCTTTCATATATCTCCACTTTACGGGACAGGCATGAATAAAGCTCTCTCTCTCTCTCTCTCTCTCTCTCTCTCTCTCTCTCTCTCTCTC